CCCCAAAACCCCAAAACCCCAAAACCCCAAAACCCCAAATGACTATTTAATAATTGATTTAATTTATAAAATAGTCAGCTGAAAATGTCAAAGAACTCTAGAAGTCAGAATTTAAGCAAAGGTAACGCTCAGGATCCAAAACTGTCAATAGTTATCAGAAAATTCGGAGACAAGTTTAAGTACATCAAGATTAACCAGGAGGATAAACCTTTAAAGTCTAATTCCAGAGGAGGATCTAGACACTCGAATAAGCCAAGATCTTCAGCTCATAGGGCTCCATCAGAGCAAAACTCCAATAGGAATAATAGGAAGAAGGATATCGACTCTGTGTCAGGTGTTTCTAGCAACAAGAAAGGTCCAGCAAGTTTGAATCATGCTTCTGAAGTTGGGAAAATTGGGCATAAAAGTGAGCCTGGTCAAAATAATGATGGAGAAATGGAATTAGGTGACAAAGATAATGACAATAATTCAGAGGCTGTAGCTTTCAAACCCCCATATGTAATCCCTAGCACATCTCAGTGGTTTGATCTTGACCATATTCACGAAATCGAGAAGGACTGTTTACCAGAGTTCTTTTGTGGTAAATACCCCTCAAAAACACCTGAATCTTATAAGGAATACAGAAATTTCATTGTTAAATTATACCGTGAGAATCCTTCAGGATATCTTGCAGCAACTACATGTAGAAGACATTTAGCTGGGGATGCTTGTGCCATCATCCGAGTGCATGCATTCCTTGAACTTTGGGGGTTAATCAACTTTAATGTAGATCCTTTCCAAAAGCCCCATAAAATTTCCCTGAATAGAGAAGGTTCTTATGCGAAATACTTGGTAAATGCCGCCAATAAGCACTTTATTGAAAGAAGTGAACAAGAAATTTTGAAAAACTTGGGTAGTACTTCTGAGAGTCAAGCTGTTAAGGAAGGAACCACTGCAGAGCCTATCTCGCTGGATACTATCAAAAAGATCAACTTCCTCTCTCACAATAAGCGCCCGTATTGAAACTATTGTGGCATTTTGTGCGGAATGTACTGGTATAGAAAAATCAGTACTGATACTGGAAACCCAGAGTTAATCGAGAAGGATAAGGCTGATAATTCAGGAGAAGTTAATTTAGACCAGAAAGAGCATCAAGGAAATATCAAGAGAGAGGAAAATAAGCAGAATGATGACCCTCAAGATGTTACTATGACTAATGAGCAAGCAATTCAGAACCCTGAGGTATCTGACAAAGTACCTCCAAAACCTAAGAAGATAATAGAACCAATTGAAGAATATAAAATGAAGAAGGAATTGAACGATCTTCAATTTACCTATGTTATTTGTGCTTCTTGCTTCAATGATAAGAAATATCCCTCTGTGTTGACTCCAGAGAGCTTTGAAAGATGCACAATTCAGACTATTCTAACAAAATCTCAACTTAATAGTGAAGACAAGGAAATTCTGAATGAAAATGAGCAAGAGAAACTAGAGCCAGCGGGAGAATGGACTCAAGACCAAACTTTACAACTTCTTGATTCAATTTCAAAGCATGGTGAAGACTGGGATCTGGTTTCAAAAGATTTTGAAGGCGTCAAGACTAAGCAGCAGATCATAAGCTACTTCATCACTTTGCCAATTAATGAGAACACTAGCGAGAAAATTCATAACATAAATGCTTTTGCAATGAAGGCTAAACAAGAGAGACAAAATTTAGTGGCTGAGCAGAGCTCAGTCCCTACTGTTTTCTCTGACGTCTCGAACCCAATCCAAGCACAAGTAGCTCTGTTTGGGAGGCTCTTGGAGCACTATGGCTTAGACGAAGAGGACAGAAGAGAGGAAACTGAAAAAGACTCCACTCTTATATCCGGTTTACGATCCCAAACGAAGCACGAAGGTGACGACAAAACTAAAGTGGCCATTAAAATGCCTATTCCAGAAGAAGAAATCCTTTCAAAGGAAGTCTGCGAGAAGATAAAGAAAAAGTCAATGAACAAATCAAAGAAGCTCGCTAAGAGGGAAAGGAAGGAGCTGAAGAAGCTGATTGCAATGATTGTAGAGATTGAGCTCAAAAAGATCGGTAGTAAGGTCGAATACCTTGATAAGTTGGATGAGGTCATAAGTAAGGAAAAGGAGCAGGTCAAGGAGATCCATTCACAGATTTTCGCCCAGAGAATCTCCCTTGCTTTGAGTAGAAATGATAGGAAAAATGAGTAGAATGAGGGTAATTGTGTCTAATTCCTTTCAATATTTGAGGCTTTTCAGGGGTTTTGGGGTTTTGGGGTTTTGGGGTTTTGGGG